TCTGGGAACGTCTAAAGAGAAACATTTAGGCTGGGGGCTCTTTGAGTGGCTGACAGCTAACTGATGGCCCTCCATAAAGCCACAAAGCGGGGCTGGGGGCGCGGGCACCACATCGCCTCTCCCTGGGAAACTAATTGCTTGGAATTGTTCAGAAGAACATTATTTTTCTGGCAACCATTTCCTTTGAATGCCCAAAATGAGCATGAAACAACTCCTTTGACTGGACATAAAAGTTAAATGTCCCAATGTTGATCAAATTAACTTCAGCGCCACGACAATGGACTGTATTTGTGAGAAAATAATGGGGGGACAAAGGGGTGCTTTATGCCAAGATTTCACAGTTGTAATGTAAAATGTTTCTGTTGAACTAGGCCAGGCCACGTTTCAGAGGGGAGACAAAGATTCCCATCACTTATGGGAAAATCTCCTTCCCGGCTGAAAGCTCAGGAAGGTGTCGGGACGCCTCAGTGGATGGTGCCTAGGAAGGCTGGTGTGCACCCTTGGCTCAGCCCCCAGGTCCCCCGCAAGGGCTGACCTGCGTGTCCGGAAGAGGGACCGGGGCTGTCCCCAACGCGGGCTGAGCGCCTGTCACCTCCCGGAGCCACACAGGGTGTGCACGATCTGGCCTCACCCAGGGTCCAGGACCCCAGCCCAGCACAGATGCTGCCGACACCTGCCCAGAGCCTGGCACTCTTCACTCATTAGGGATCTGTCTTCTCATAACAAGAGGCTGACAGCAACAATTTCAAAAATCACACAAAAAGGTAAAGGTTCGCATCTGTGATAAGGAGTCTGGCTGAGCCCCGAGAGGTGACAGCCCTGGTGGCAGGTGCCCCGCAGCACTCGCCCTGGGGCTTCTGAGACTTGAACTCAGTTTGCATCTCAGTTGTTTCAAGATCACGGCCTACTCTGGAATGCTTTTAGGGTTAGAGGAAAGGTGCGAAGCTCCTACTGGTGCCTCTGGTTTTAACTGGGCGGCGACGTCCTCCAGGGCTGGGACCCGCCACCTCCTGGGCCTGGCGCAGGCCTACAACAGGGACCTGGGAAGGCGCTCGTGGAGATTAAACCAGGAAGAGGCCACAGGAACGTCCTCACTGTCTCCCTGCGGGCAGACAATTGCGTGCCCGGTTCCCAACGCCCTGAATGGGGCCCTGTTGGTGGCAGCGACCATTCAGAGGCCATGAGGCATTGTCCAGCCCGATCCGCACAGCAGAATGCGGTCTGCTGGTGGCTGCCAAGAGGTTAGCAGCCGCGGTGAAAGGGCAGCCCATTGTTCCCGACTCTGACAGAGCCGCCCTTTGTGCTGGCCGGCCCGCCCCGCGCGGCGGAGGTCCGGATCTGGCTGGCTGAGCTCGCCACAGCAGCCATTCATGGGAATGCAGAGATGCAGAAAAGTGGCCTGAAAGCCCAAAGGCTGCTTTCTCGAGGCCGCGCAGCCACAGCAGCTAGGGGCAATGACACATTGTAATGCCACGCCACACCGACAGCCTAACCACTGTCACTGAGGCCCAACGGCAGACACAGCAGGGCCCTCCCCGCTCCTGGGCTCTGTGGGAGGTCCCTGAGAAGCTTGGTGCCTGGAAGCCCAGGGCTGATCAGGCAGGAGGAACCGCGCTACTCCTTCGGGTGAGGCCCTCCTCCCTGGGCGACTAACACATTGTCCAGGGAGGGTGCCCAGGGCCCAGGCAGTCATCAGTCACTGTGTCTCTGACAAAGCCCCAGGCACCATCCCCGACCTGTGCTGCTTCCCCACAGCGGGCAGTCACGAGTGCAGTCCTTAGGCTCAGACCTGTTCCTGCCTCAGTGTCAGTGCCAGCTCTGGAGGTGCCCAGGAGGCCAGAGAGGCCCCCTGCCGGGGGTGTGACTGTGCATCGGGGTGGCCATGAGCACAGCAGCACCCAGGCCCCACATTTGCGGCGCCTCTTCCAGGACCAGGCTGGTGGCAGGGAACCAGGGCACCATCACTCTGGAGACAGAGGTCAGGAGCGGTCAGAGGAGTATAAGGGACCACGCCTAGGGGCCCTCAGCAGGGGCCGGACGCGGGGGAGAACCAAGGCCATGTACCTGTTCACAACAGCACAGGGACGGGAGCCCACTCCAGACTCCCCACAGAGCCCCATGGGCAATCCGGAGGATGGTGACGGCGGCAAGCGCAGAGCCATGCAGGCCATGCTCACCACAGCAGCAGAGGGAGCCAGCGCTCAGGAGCAGCACGCCCTGGAGAATCCTGCCTTCCAGCCCATCCTCAGGATGTACAGTGCTGAGCTATAACAGGTGCACATGCACACACACCCGTACACATATACACGTGATGCACATACATCCACACCCATGTGTACACACACACATGCACACACACCTGTACACGTATACACGTGATGCACATACATCCACACCCGTGTGTACACCCACACCTGCACACACACCTGCACACACACCTGTACACATATACACGTGATGCACATACATACATTCACACCAGTGTGTACACCCACACCTGCACACACACATGCATACACACCTGTACACATATACACGTGATGCACATACATCCACACCCGTGTGTACACCCACACCTGCACACACACATGCACACACACCCGTACACATATACACGTGATGCACATACATCCACACCCGTGTGTACACCCACACCTGCACACATACATGCACACACACCCACCCGTGACACATGCACTGCATACACACCCACACCTGCACGCACACACCCACACATACCTGCACACATCCACACCTGTGTGCACATGCTTCCCCCACAGGCATACACACCCTTCCACACACCCACACAGGCACACATGCGTGCATGCACACACTCTCTAGCACACATGCACCCACACACATACCCACACACACATGCACATATACACAGGCACGTGCACACCACACATAATCCACATCCACACATACACACACCCCCACACCCCCACACACACACACATGCACCCACACAAGCGCACTCACATGCCCACGTGTGTGCACACACAATGCAGCCCCCACACACCCCTGCAAGCATGCACACACCCAAATACAGACATACAGACATGCACCCACACACCCACGCCACACATGTACCCACATGCACCCACATGTACAAACACACCCACAAAAGTGTACACACATGCACCCCCACATACATAAATGCACACACCCACATATGAACACACACAAGTGCAGGTGCATGCACACCCACCTTCACACAACCCCCACATGCAGATGTACATATGTTCACATGCATGTACTTATGTGTGCACGTGAATAACTGCATGCACATGCACACACACCTGTACACATATACACATGATGCACATACATCCACACCTGTGTGCACACTCAGACACACATGCATGCACAGGCACACACAGGCACACTCACTATCCTTATGAGGCGCTGTTAGGAAGCGGGGACCCCCTGGCTGCTGTTCTCCTTCATGACCCCACCTGCCTCAGGGACCCTCAGGACACGGGTCTTGTTTGGGTGGAAATGTAGGTACTCCACACAATCCTCAGGGGTTGTCTCTCCTGCCCCCTGAGAATCTGATGGTGCTGGTCACACACCACCCACAACACAGGGGCAGGGGCCCCACCCACATTCCCCTCCACATAGACTGCTCCTCCCACTGTCTTCCCCAGGAACCCTCCCAGAGGCTCAGAGGGTGTCAGGTCCTGCCCAGCCTCCTCCCACTCTGGGTCCAGACCTCAGTGCCCCCCACCCTCTGCCTCTGCCTGCACAGCTCCAGGCAGTTGTGACTGCCCTAGGGACAGTGGTGGTCTGGGAATGACTCAGTCCTTCTGCTTGGCACATGCCCAGGGTGAGGCAGGTGTGGGTGGGAGGGAACCAGCGCCAGGAATAGAAAGATCAGGGTCTGAGGAGGCCAGGAAGAGGCCAGCAGCTGGAAGGCAGGCGAGGTCAGGGCCGCACCAGGCCCTCGCACATACTCGGGAGTGCAGCTCAGCATTGAGCACGCATGGAGGCCGGGCAGGGGCTCAGGCTGGGGGCCCTCTATGGAGCAGAATGGGGTTCAGGTGGAAACCAGGGACCATCCTGGGACAGAACTGCCAGGCTCAGGCCTCTAGTTGTGGCTACTGCAAGCCCAGGCTGATGAAGCACTGTCCTGTCACCACGGAGATGCTGGGGAGGTTTCCATGTGAGTGCCGCCTGGAATGAGCAGAGGGTAAACCCTGGCTGCCTGGCCTGAGCTGCAGCGGAAGGCCCAGCTGTAGACGGAGAGGGACACTGGTCCCAAGATCAGACACATCCCACCAATGGGGGCACCCCTGCTTCCCACTGACAGCCGCCATCTCCACGGCACCACCGGCGGAGCTGCCTGCAGCACTGGGCGAGAGGGGCCCAGGCGCAGGTGGAGGTGGCCCCCAGGCTCCCACTGACTTCAATGTCCTGTTCACCTCCCACCACAGCACCCCTGGCACTGTTTTCTTATCCTTCCCACAAAAAGTCAGAGAGAAAGTAAAGCCATCCCCATCCAAGTCCATGGTGAGGGCATGGCTCCAGACTGGAGGGGGCTAAGGGCTCTGCCACCTCCAGGGGGCAACTCCAGTAAGGGCTACGAGCAAACTGTCAAGCACAGAGCAGAGTGTGGCTCCCAGAGCAGGCACAGCCTTTCCCAGTGGCCAGACACACTGACATGCCCAGCCACCTACCTACCCACCCACCCCGGCCTCTCCTCCCTCACCTACACCTGCCCAGCACCCCACCTCTGCACCCACACCCACACCTACACCTGCCCACCCACACCTACCTCTCCACCCACACCTACACCTGCCCAGCACCCCACCTCTGCACCCACACTTACACCTGCCCACCCACCCCACCTCTCCACCCACACCTACACCTGCCCAGCACACCTACCTGCCCACCGACACCTACACCTGCCCAGCACTTACCTGCCTGCCCACACCTGCCTCCCCACCCACGCCTACCTCCCCACCCACTCCCACGCCTACCTCCCCGCCCACACCTACCTGTCCAGCACGTAGCCCAGTGCCTTGTGCCGGATGCCTGAGTACACAGAAGGGCTTGTTTCCCAAGCAACCAGATTGGAAGCATCATGGAAAAGATGGATATTCACCAAGTCAAAGGCACTACAACCAAAAGAGAAAAGGACACGTCACCAAGGGCTGGGGCTCCGGGTCACACCTCGTTCTCCCAAGGAACCCCGGGGCATGGGACCTGCGCCTCCGTGGGGAGCACCCGAGGCCTGGTGCCTGTCCACCCGCCTGTCTGCTGACAAGGCCAGAGGACAGGAAACTCCAGTGAAGTCTGAATACGTCTTCACGTGTGCACTTACTCTGGCCAACTAAAGAGTGAGCTACTTTTCTTTAGAGAAGAAGTTACAGGCGGCTGTGGAAACTCTCCCCGATGGCTAAACTAAGAAGAGGGGCCACCCCTCAGCCTCAGCCTCAGCCGCCCAAGGCTGCCGGCTGCACCCATCGGGGACCCTGTAAGGCAGGTAGGGGCACAGAGACAGGCGAGAAGAGTGCTTCATTGTGCTCCCAAAGGGAAGAGTCTTGGCAAGCTTCGTGGGCCTGGCTGTTGGCCTCCAGCACACGGACTCCAAGGCCTGATCAAGGCCTGAGCCTCTGTCACACTGCAGGGGAGCCTTGGCACCTCTGGCTAGTAGGGACGTGATGGGGAGGTCAGCGCAGGGCTCGGCATGGTCTGGACGCTGTCCCACAAAGCCTCACTGCCCGCACGCCTGCCACAGGCTCTAAGACCCAGCCCTGTCTCCCTTGCAGGAGGTGCAAGGAATGAGCGTGTGCAGGCAGCCTTGCCCGCCCTCCTTCAGCCTGTGGTCCAGCTGCCACAATGACCCCAGTGACGCCTGCCAGGTGAACGTGCCCCATGTGCCCCCACACCACGCCAAGGCCATTCCGTGTGGCCAACAGCCAAGGGTGGCCTGTAGCCTGCAGTGCCTGGGGTGACAGGGACCGCAGCTCTTCAGCTCCCTCTCTCCTGCCCCTCCCTCCTCTTCCTCTTTCTCTCCTCTCCCTTCTCCCTCCTTTCTTCCCCCTCCCCTTCTCTCTGTCCCGCCCCATTCCCCTTCTCCTTCTCTCTGCCCCTCCCCCTCTGCCCTCCTCCCCCTCTCCCTCCCCTTCATTCTCTGGACTCTGGCTCTCCTGCTCCTCCTGGGGACATCCTGCCCTGAGCAGCCCCAGGGAGAGGCCTGAGGGGGAGGAGCAGAAACCCCCACCCACAGCTCGAGTCCTCTGGAAGCCCCAAGGTGAACTGGGCCGGAACCCCAGAAAAGCCACTCCTGGATTCTGAGCCACAGCCATGACCTCGTGCTTGCTTTTTAAAGCTGCTAAGTGTGGGGTGATCTGTTATATGCAGCAGATAATCAAGCAGCGAAGTTTTGGAAACTCATAAGAGGAAAATAAAAGCAGCATTCAAATGAGGTGTGATTGCTCGAGGGACAGGTCAGGGGCCACCTGGAAGCCACCGTAGGAAAACAGGTGACAGTTTTCTGACTTCATCAGGCAGAAAAGCTGGGACAGCACCATTGAGAACACGTTCACGACAGAAAGGCCACGCCAGAGGGTCCTTGGATGAAACGCAGGCTCCGCCGTGTGCTCAGCCTGCCGGTGAAGCAGGCTGCCAGGCGGCTCTTAGTCGTCTCACTCGGCAGCCACGGGGCCAGTGCCAGGAGTCCTCCCTGCTGACTTCCCTGTGTGCGCTGCGGGGTCTGGCCAGCGGAACTCTCTGGCTGCAGGGAGGGGCCAGGTCTGTTCACTGTGTCTGCACTGGCACTGGGCACCCAGGTGTTTGACTTACATGGAATGGTGGCAATGCTCCGAACACATCATCGTGAACAGAAAAGGCCAGAGTGGCAGGTGGGGGCCGGGCAGCTGGGGTTCCTTGTGCAAAGTCAGTAGATTCTCCAATCAGGTGTGTGCAACATGCCAGTTGAGCAACATACAAAGGGTAAGAAACATGGAAATTGACACAGCACAGACAGACAGCACGTACCAGTCTACAATGCACCACCTCGTCCGGATGAAGCCTTTTCTTGACCATTTGCACTGAAAAATAAACACGTCACAGAAATAAGCTGGAGTAAGTGGGCAGGAGCAACGTGTAGGTCCCACATATTTACAGGACACAGGAGATGCTTTCCAACCGTGAAAACAGCAGTGCTGTTTCAGCACCGATGGCGTCCCGCTGAAAAGAACGGAGCTGCGCACCTCTCCTCAAGTGGGGCTTGGCACAGAGGCGCCTACAGGAGCTGCTGATGCTCAGAGGCGGGAGGGAGGGAGGGAAAGATGCAAAGAAACAAGAAATGCACCAGCCTGCTGCCTGTGAGCCCCATGCCCCCATGTGAGAGCAGCTGCAGGGAAGTCACTGTCACCACAGACACTCGCTGAGCAGTGCTACCCATGGCCAGGGAGCTTGAGACACACGGGGCCACCCTCGGCTGGACCCCAGGAAAGACCCGAGCAGCCACTCCCAGCCAGGCGTCCTGGACAGCAGGTGAGCTGCCCACCCCAATGGTGTGTGTGGCCTCTCCACGATGCCTACCACCAACGCCTCTCACCCACTGATGCCCACCACCCCCCGATGCCACCCCCTACTGAGGCCTACCACCCTCTAATGCCTCTCCCCCACTGATGCCCAGCACCCCCGATGCCACCCCCTACTGACGCCCACCACCCCCCAATGCCTCCCCCCACTGATGCCCACCGCCCACTGATGCCTCTCCCCACTGATGCCCACCACCCTCCGATGCCTCTCACTGATGCCTCGCCCACCCAGCAGAGCCACAGATGGTGGGGCCTGAGCTCTGGTCCGAAAGTGCCCTCCAAATTCAAGGTGAAACAGTCACCAGCATGAGAGTTCAAAGAGGTGGGTTCTTTAGGAGGTGGCAGGGCTCCCCTGGAGAATGGCAGGGAGGCCCTCCCACCTCCCAACAGAGCAGGGCTCTGTGGGGCCACGCAGTACAGCAGTGACCAGCCACCGTGGCCACAGAGCACGTTCTTCAGTGTGTGACTGAAGAACTGAATTTTAGGTTCCATTTTATCTTTATTAACTTTAACAGCCATGCAGAACAGGTAGCTTCCCAGTCTAGGCATCTTGGGAAACCCTTAAAAACCACCAGAAGGCACGGTGGCCCCCACAGCCCCACCCCCTTCTCCCCATCATCCCCTCCAGCACAGCAGCCCCCACAGCCCCGTCTCCTTCTCCCCAGAGTCATCAGCAGGTGCAGGGGTCCCTCCTAGAGACCACGCCCCCACGTGCACACCTGAGCACCCTTGCCCTAGGTGAACACGCCCCACGCCCCACGCCCCACGCCCCACAACACCCTCCGGTGCAGGGCAGGGAAATGTGGGGAGGCAGAGAAGGGGGTTTCAGCTGCCGTTCACATGCTCAGGACTCAGGAAGACCTCAGAAGCTTTGGGATGCACACGCTTGTTGCTCAGGCCATGGCAAATAGAAGCAGAGAGTGAATGGGTGGGGCTGGGGGGTCTCCTCACCCCAGGCTGTGTGCAGGAACGTTCTGGTCACTGGCCACCTCAGGTGCCCGCAGATGGGATGGCCACAACTCTGCACTCCTGAGGCAGCCGCCCCCTGGCCCATATCAGCTCCTCTGCTCCCAGAGAGGTTTTCACCTCAGAAATGACGCCCACGTCACACGGGGGTGGGGGCACATCCTTCACCCGACAACATGAAGTCTCTCTCAGGCCCCTGTTAATAGGGTTCCTTCAGCCGGCAGATGGATAGCGAACCCAGCCGGTTTCATCTACTAAAAGACGGCATAAATCGCCGAGGAGAAAAGGAGGCTGCGGGGAGGTTATCACCGCCCAGCCCTCGCGCCGGAGGCCCGCTCAGAGCATTAGCGGAATTAATTCATCTTTCATAAGAGCTTGCAGCCGGCCCTGTGATCTATGGTAACAACCAATTTCTCACTGCGGGCAAAAGGAAAAAAATGACCCGCCCTGATCGACTACACAAATCTGCTTTTTAAAAATGGCCTCACATTATCTGGAGTGTGGCTCCCAGAGGCATCATTTGAAATTCATACCAAGCCAAAAGCATCCATAAATCAGCAGACAAAGTTTTGTTAGTTTCTGTGCAGCCACGGTAATTATCTGAGACTGCATTATGCCCCCATCAAGGTAATTACATTTAGATTACCCTTAAGTGATGGTAATAAAAGAAAGAGATCAGTCTGAAACTAGTTCCTTCCTCCAAAATGTGCTCAAACACAGCAAGAGGTCGGGCGCAGAGGCCCAGAGGGAGGGGCAGGCCGGCCAGGCTGCCAGGCCCAACCGTGTCTTCCCGGCCCTCCCTCCTCCGTCCTCCCTCCCGCAGGGACACAGGTGCCACACAGGCTCTGTGAGATTAAAAACCCACACTATGGACTGAACTTGAGGAGCTTACAGCTTTTGGAGTAAGAGTTTCCTTTTGTTAATTTACCAGAAGAGGGAACAGCTGAGAACGTTTGCAGGTTACCTCAGAGCAGACACATGGGTCCTGGGAGGATTTCTAAGACGGTGACGTGGCAGGGCTGCCCTGACCCACAGCAAGGCCTCTGCCCAGGGCAGAGGCTGGCCCCCTGTCCCAGGCACCGGCAGCCATGAGGTTCTGCTGAGCAGCTAAGCACCAGGCTGCAGACGGCAACGCACTGCTCTCCCAGTGGACAGACGGGTCCACACAGACACTCGGCGCCTTTTCCTCCCAGGAATCATCCACTTTCCAGAATGTGCCTTCCCCTCTGCCTGTAGACACAACACTGCAGTCCTGGAGCCAGGTCCATTGCAGGCAGGAAGGCCTGGACCCAGGCTGAGGGCTGGGGTTCCTGTGCAAACCCAGGCTGAGGCTGTTCTTCCTGGGGGAAGGGGCAGCTCCCCATGCGATGGCCCCCACAGACCCAGGCCAGCAGGCCCCTAGCATCACAGAGGACTCAGAGTGCTGGCCTCAGGGACCGAGGCCAGGGGCCACACCCAGACCCCTGCCTGAGCACCCACCCTCCAAAGGGTGGCAAAGTCACAGCAGAGGACCCCAGACCTTGCCCAGCGTGAGCCTGGGCCCCCAGCCTCAGCTCCCCACTTGCTGGGTGTAGGAGAAAAGCCTGAGGTGTGGGTGCAAGCAGGAACCCCTCGGAAGGAGGTCTCTCTGGCCAGAGCACAGGGCTGCTGCGGCGCGGGGTGGGACAAGGTGGGGCTGCGCTGAGGGATGGAGGGGTCAGGGGCCTGCGCGGCTGCCTGGGAAGACCCTGGAGTGTCTGTTCCTTGCTGAGGACCCACTGCTCCTGAGCTTCCCGCCCTGGCTGACCCCTGCAGCCTCTGGACCCTCAGGACACACCTCGGCCCATCCCCAGGGGCTACAGGACTCCCTCTGGACTCTCCTACTCCACCCAGGGTAGACGGGACCCAGTGAATACGCGGACACCAGGTGAGGTGGGGACAGCCCAGCAGCACCCGGTCCAGCCACAGCCCTGGACAGCAGTGTAGCCCATGGGTCCCGAGATGAGGTGCCGGGTCGCAAGCCCCTGCTTGGACCAGGCCAGGCCACCTGCAGCAGCTGCCTCATGTCATCAGGTGGCAGCACCTGGCCCTGCCCAGCCCACGCCCTGCCAGCCCCCATGTCTCCCACACAGGGCCCTGAGTCTATCTCTGGTCACTCTGAGATGAGAGCCTTGGGTGGGCTCAAGAGAGGCCCAGAGTTCAGCTTGTAGGCTCTCCAGGGGAACCACGGCCCCACCTGCCCTTCCGAGGGGCCTGTACCACAGGCAGCCCCTTCAGGGAGGGCTCTTGTGGCCCAGGGACGTGACTATGCACAGAGAAGGCCACAGGGCTTTCCTGCGTGTCCTTGTCCAACCTCAGACACCCGGGGTGGAGGGAGGTGAGCGGGCGGTGCCAGAATCAGGACCAAGGACGGGGCGCCGGCCCACTGACACGGTGTCCTTGGCTGAGGAAAGATGGACGAGGAGGCTGAGCCACAGGGTGACAGGAGTGCCCCATCCCTCACAGGGCGGCCACAGTCCCTTACTCAAGGTAGGGGCCATAAAGCAAGTTAATAAAGTTGCGGCCTTGCTGGGAGTCAGCTTGGTAGCCACCTCGGCGGGCACAGCCCTCGTGGAGACAGGGCTGCAGAACAATCCTTCTTGGGGTTGCGCATCACGCCCCAGAAAGAGCTCCTATATCACAGCCTGGACGCACCCAAACCTGCGCCCAGCTGCCAGCTCTTCCGCCTCAGCGCGTGGCTGCTTCCAGCCACGGTGTCCACGCCCCACTGTGATGCAGCAGATGGCGAAGGGCACGGCCGGGAGCCGCCCACAGTGCTGCGTGTGAGGTGCTCCGGAGACCACGTGCACTCTGAGCAGCTGCACACACACGGTTTGGCAAAAGCGCGTGGCCGCCCGACGGAAACACCAACACCTTATCAGCACTGCGTCTGGCAGGGACGACAAACGCCTTCCACACATCCCGATTCTACACTCTCCGTGCGGCGCAGGCGTAACCGCTGGGGTGCTGCTGCTCACAGCCTGGCACAGCCACCAAGGCTGATCTGACACGGGACCGTGTCCCACGCTCACACCACAGGCATACGCAACCGACCAGCCGACCCTCTCACAACCGGGCGTGCGGGAGACCCGGGTGCACGCCAGGGGAGCTGAATGATTTTCCTACATCTTTTGGGGAAGCTTCTTTCGCCTGGTTATGAGGATTCGGGAATTTGCTGACCATTGTGGTGCTGAGGCCTTAGATTCTCACTGCCCTGACGTGAGGCAGCCCAGACCAACCACAGGAGTCTGGACGCCCAGGAAGACAGGTTATCCGAGGTAACAACAGGCAGCTTGACCAGCAACAGTGCAATGTGGAAATTGTGTTCAAAGCCACTTCTGACTGGCGCGCTCTGGGAAGTAAACACATTGGTGAGAAGGCCTAGCCACGTACCTCGGGGAAGTAGTCCTGTGGAAACTTCTCCTTCTCCAGCATGGGCGTGCTCTCTAAGGTGTCGGAGTAGATCTCTTTGCCAGTGACCTTTTTATATTTCTTGGCTGGAAGAGACCAGAAGGACGAGGTGACTGTCCCATCGCTGTGCCCCATCCAGCCAGCCTAGAGCACGGCATGTTTCCGTCCCACCCCCGCCCCTGTGCAGCTTGATGGGGAGCAAGGGAGGCCCCCAGGAGGAGGCCCGAATGAGGGGCTGACCCCGGACACACCCAGGCGGGCAACTGCTCCAAGCCTGTGGCTCATAAATTCCTCTTCCACAACCTGGAATTTGACACTCCACTCCATTATCCCCTGAGAGCTCCCAGCCTGCAGATTTACAGGGGCTAATTGGCATCCTCTTTTAAACCCGTGAATATATTTAAGAGGGCTGTAGAATTACCATTCAGTCAGACCTTCGCATGAATTTATTTAATACCATTGATTTCCTCCCATTTCCAGCCCCCATCACTCATATTCCAGGGAGGAGGTTTATGTGCCATGGACAGAGGGGTAGCTCATGGCAGGGCACCTTCCAGGCGGGCTTTGCCAATGGCTGCATGGCACCTCCCTGGAGCCCCCATGGATAGCCCAGGCCCAGGGACACAGGCCCCCATAGACAGGGCTGCTCTCACTGTTGTTCACAGCCAGGCTGCGGCCTTTTTAATGGACAGGTAGCTCCACACCCACAGTGGGGTGTGATCGGTGATGGCAGGGATAGGGTCCATTCCTCAAACTCCTGCTGGACACAGCGGGCAGGTGGCTGCTGGCCTCTTTACAAGATGTCACAGGATGGCTCCTGGGCCACTGAGGTGACGCTCCTGGGTCTCAAGGAGGTTCCTGGAGACCACTTTGGAGCAGTGTGTTGTGAGCCACAGAGAGCTCCAACCTACAGTTTCTGGGGTGTTATCCACCCAACTGCAGCAAGAGGGACAGAGGGGGCAACCTGAGGACTGTGGCACCATAGGCCAAGGTGCTGGCTCGACACTAGGGTGGCCAGGAGTCCCAGGCAAAAACAGAGTGCTGTGGTCTTGCCCAACCCTGAGTGCCATGACCTGGCCTGGCCCTGGATGCTGCTATCTGGCCTGGTCCTGGGTGCTATGGCGTGGCCCGGCCCTGGGTGATGCGATCTGGCACCCTGGATGCTACAGTATGGAGCCCTGGTGCTGCAGTCTTGTACCCTGGGTCCTGTGGTCTGGCCTAGCCCTGGGTGCTGTCATCTGGCCTGGTCCTAGGTGCTGTGACCTGGCCTGGCCCTGGGTGCCTATGGTCTGGTCCAGCCCTGGGTGCTAAGGTCTGACTTGGCCCTGGGTGCTACAGTCTGACCTGGCCCTGGTTG